GCTTATATATCTCACACTATACCTACCCCAAACCAACCAATCCACCACCAACCACAAATTACTAATCCTAGCCTTGATGGAAACCCAGCCATATCACCATTCCATGCCTATAAGACCTTAGAAGAACCTCAGCCCAATTACTCAGAGGAGCATTTCCAATCCAGAGAAAAACTGCAAATATTGGAGGAAAGATTAAGAGCTATCGAGGGGAGCAGCTATGACATTGGTGAAGCTGCAGATCTTTACTTGGTCCCAGATGTGATAATTCCTCTAAAATTCAAAGTGCCTGATTTTGATAAGTACAAAGGAATGACATGCCTAAAGAGTCATCTGATCATGTACTATAGGATGATGGCATCACACGCCCATGATGGTAAGCTACAAATTCACTTTTTCCAAGATAGTTTGATTAGGGGAGCTTTGAGTTGGTATATGCATCTTAAGCGTACTCGTATTCGTAGTTGGAAAGACTTGGTTGATGTTTTTCTAAATCAATATAAGTACAACATTGATATGGCTCCTGATAGGTTACAATTACAGAATATGTTAAAGAAAGAGGATGAGACTTTTAAAGAATACACTCAGAGATGGAGAGAAGTTGCAACTTAAGTGGAGTCCTTTTTGTTCGAAAAAGAAATGGTAGCAATGTTTATTGATACTCTCTAATCACCTTTCTATGATAGAATGATTGTAAGTGTTTTGTCAAAGTTCTCTAATATTGTGATTATTGGAGAAAGAGTGGAAGGAGAAATGAGGAGTGGTAAGATATTTCACAATTCTGGTGGACGTTACAATTTGAAGAAATTTACAAATGGTCCGGGAAGAAAGAAGGAGGGAAAGACTAATGCTATAGCTTTCCACCTAAGAGAAGTTTCTTTCATCAAACCTAACCCTGCACCTTTTCAATTCCAACTTACATTTCCTTCCCCTCAAATGTCTTACCCATATGTCAATGTCATTTTATAGAACCCAAATCCTCAATCTTATCAGCCGCGACCCTACCAACCTGCTTCGCCTCCTTTTCCCGTAGCACCACCAATGCGACCACCCTAACATTGGAACCAAAACACAAATCCCAACCAAATAAAACCCCAAAACAATCAAGAAAGGAAGCAAGTTTAATTCGATCCAATCCCATGTCCTACACTAAGTTACTACCTCACCTATTTCAAAGTTCATTACTTGTACCCTGTCCAATGAAACCTATAGAACTGCCTTATCCAAGAGGGTATGATCCAAATATTAAATGTGAGTACCATGCTGGTGGCATTGGTCATTCGACAGAGAATTATAGGACACTAAAGTTCAAAGTGCAAGACTTAATTAATGCCAAATGGTTGAACTTCAAGGAGGATAATCTTAACATTAGGAGTAACCCCTTACTTGGGCATAGAAGACCATTAGTAAATGTCATCAAGGAAGAGTCTGCTAGTGTTTTGAAAAGGAAAGTTGAAGAGGTTACGACTCCTCTTAAGGTTATTTTTGCTGAGTTGTGCAAAGTTGACTTAATCAAGGGTTTTGTACATAAAGAAAGTATGTGTAATTGGCACCCTAATGCAGACTACTCCATTGAAGATTGTGAAGAATTCAAGCATGTTCTACAAATACTAATGGACAAGCATTTGGTCCAAATTGGGCACCCTAGAGAGAAAAATGAAGTTTTGACTATTGATGAACAATTACTAGCCTTCTCGAAACCTTTGGTCATTCATTACACCAAATGTGTAAATACCCCAACTACCAATGGACCTAGACCCATCACTATACATGTATCGGCTTCATTTCTTTACAAGGACAACAAAGCAGTACCATGGAAGTATGATGCAAGGGTTTATGTCAGCAATTTTAAGGAAAACCAAATATAAGGTGTCAATTTTGATACTCTTGCCATCTCAAACATTGCTAGTTTTGGTGGGATGACCCACAATGGTCATATTTATACACCTAAGGAGCTGAGAAAAGAGCGAACAAAAGAAATAGAGAGGTTCTCAAAAGGAAAAACCAAAGTGGGCGAGTTTGAAGATGCTGAGAAGAGAAAATGCCTGAAATAAAGAGAGCAGTGTCAGATGAAGAAGCTTGTGAGTTTTTGAAATTTATTCGACAAAGTGAATATCAAGTTGTGGAACAGTTAAATAAAACTCCAGCTAAGATATCTCTTTTATCCTTGTTACTAAACTTTGAGCCACATAGGAGGACTTTTTTGAAGGTGTTAAATGAGGTTCATGTGAGCCATGATATCACTACTGACAAGTTTTGAGGCATTGTCGGTAATATTGTTTCAAACAATTATCTCATCTTCACTGATGATAAAGTACTTGCCGAAGGAATAGGGCACAAAAAGCATTGCATATTTCTATGAAATGTCAAGATTACATTATCATTAGAGTGCTTATTGATAATGGGTCTTCTCTGAATGTGATGTCAAAAGCAACATTGTCAAAATTACCTTGTGATGGGTCGCATATGAAACCCAATACCATGATAGTAAGAGCCTTTGATGGAACAAGAAGAGAGGTCATTGGAGAAATTGAAATCCCAATCCAAATTGGTCCTTGTACTTTTCAAATTTTGTTTCAAGTAATAGACATTGTGCCAGCTTATAGCTATTTTTTGGGGAGGCCTTGGATTCATTTTGCTGGAGTCGTACCATCCACATTGCATCAGAAATTGAAGTTTATCATTGATAATAAGTTGGTGATTGTATCTGGTGAAGAAGATGTGTTAGTGAATAAGCTTTCGTTAGCTCTTTACATTGAAGCTGTTGAAGAAGCTCTAGAGACTTCTTTTCAGGCTTAGAGATTGCCAATGGTACTTATGTTGGAGAAGGAGCCCCAATCGTAAAGACTCAATTGTCTAATACACCCATAATGACTGTTAAAGTCATGCTTAATGGAAGTGTCAGTATAGATACGTGTTAGGACAAACCATCACGGAAGTAGCAAAATGGTTTCAGCTCCATGAGAATAAGGATAGATTTGGGTTAGGATACACGCCCACTAAAGCTAACAAGAGAAAAGTCATGGAGGAGAAGAAAGAAAAAAGATTAGCCAGGTTGGAGGGTAGAGAGCCTAAGACTGAAGGGGTCCCCATTTGTGATCTTTTGAAAACTTCTACAGTGCTGGATTTGAGTTTCAAGACTCAGTGGCTGTTATTGACAAAGATGTATCCAGAGAGGAGGAGGTTAACCTAGTCCGCATTTGTCCACTGAACACAAAAGTTGACAATTGTGAGATCATTGAACTTCTTGTGATTTTTAATGCCTACTCAAAGTAATCATTGAAGCTAATCCTATTGTTTTATCCCAAAGCTTTAGGATATTATTACTTTTTGAAAAGACTGATATATGATTTCTTTTTGTAATTTAAAAGATCATTTTGTTTTCTAAGTTGGGATGCATGTTTCCTTTTAAGTATATTTTTAAAAGAAATGCAATTCGAGTTCTCAACAACCTTTTGTGTCTTTTTTCTTTATTGCTTGAATCTTGTAGTTTTTATTTTTTTTTGTCTCAACTCACACAATGCAGATCTGAAAGTGACATGTCTGAAAGTAACAGTGCTAATATCTCATCCACTAATTTTGATTTTTGCATTAATCAAGCTGTCAAAGATGATATTGATGGTGATTTATCCTCAGAATTTTTAAGATTGGTTGATCAAGAAGTGAAAGAGATCCAACCACATGATGAACCCACTAAGACGATTAATTTAGGGACTGAAGATGATAAGAGAGAAATCAAAATAGGCACCTTCATGGAAAAAAAAGAGCGCGACAAGTTGATTAAACTCTTGCATGATTACAATGATGTCTTGGCATGATCTTATCAAGATATGCCAAGTCTAGATGTTGATATAGGTGAGCATAAATTGCCGTTGAAACCAGAGTGTTTCCCAGTTAAGCAAAAGTTAAAGAGAATGATACCTGAGATGTCATTGAAAATTAGGAAAAAGGTTAAGAAGCAATTTGATGCAGGTTTCCTTACTGTTGCCAAATACCCCCAATGGGTGGCCAACATTGTTCCAGTTCCTAAGAAAGATAGAAAGGTTCGGATGTGTGTTGACTATCGAGATCTAAATAGAGCCAGCCTTAAAGACGAATTTCCATTGCCTCACATTGATGTGCTAGTAGATAATATAGCACAACATTCATTCTTCTCTTTCATGGATTGTTACTCATGTTACAATAAGATAAAAATAGCAGAAGAGGATATGGAGAAGACTACATTCATTACACCTTGGGGCACCTTTTGCTACAAGGTCATGCCTTTCGGTTTGAAAAATACTGGGGCAACATATCAAAGGACGATGGTGACATTATTTCATGATATGATACATAAGGAGGTTGAAGTCTATGTGGATGATATGATTGACAAATCAATGGCTGAAGAAGACCATGTTGTAAATTTATGCAAGTTGTTTGAGTGGTTAAGGAAATTTAAATTGCAGTTGAACCTTACAAACGTACCTTTGGGGGTGAAATCAGGCAAGTTATTGGGGTTCATAGTCAGTCAAAAGGGAATAGAGGTTGATCGTGACAAGGCAAAAGTAATCATTGAAATGCCATTGCCTCGCACTAAAAAAGAGGTCCGTGGATTTTTGGGAAGATTGAATTATATTGCCCGATTCATATGTCAACTAACTACCACTTGTGAACCAATTTTTAAGTTATTATAGAAAAATCAGCCAATGGAATGGAATGAAGATTGTCACGAAGCTTTTGAGAAGATGAAGCAGTATTTACAAAATCCTCCGATACTAGTGCTGCCAATGCCAGGGAGGCCAATCATTATGTATTTGACAGTGTTAAAAGGATCCATAGGATGTGGTTTAGATCAACATGATGAATTAGGTCAAAAAGACCACACTATTTATTACTTGAGCAAGAAATTCACTGATTATGAAGCTAGATACTCTTTGTTGGAGCGAACCTATTGTGCCTTGGCTTGGGCAGCTCGCAGGTTAAGGCAATACATGCTGAGTCACACGACTTGATTGGTGTAAAAAATGGACCCAATCAAATATATCTTTGAGAAACCAGCTCTTACTGGAAGGATTGCTCGTTGGCAGGTCCTATTGTCAGAATATGATATTGTGTATGTTACTCAAAAAGCAATCAAAGGCAAAGCTCTCATAGATTTCTTAGCTTATCAACCAGTGAATGATTATCAATCAATACAATATGAATTTCCTGATAAAAATATAATGGCATTGTTTAATGAGAAAGAATCTTTAGCAAAAGACGAATGGGTCATGATGTTTGATGGTGCTTCTAATGCACTCAGACACGAGATTGGTGTTATACTGATTTCTCCAAAGAAGCAATATATCCCAATCACAGCTAGATTATCATTCGATTGTATGAATAATATAGCTGAATATGAAGCATGTGCTATGGGAATTCAAGTAGCTATAAAGTCTAAGATCAAAATTCTTGAGGTGTATGGTGACTCAGCCTTGGTCATCCACCAGCTGAAAGGTGAATGGGAGACACGAGATGCCAAATTGATCCCTTATTAAGCCTATATCAAAAAATTGGTAGAGTATTTCGATGAAATTACTTCCCAGCATATTCCTCGTGAGGAGAATCAATTAGCTGATGCTTTAGCCACTTTATCATCAATGTTTGTAGTGAGTCAAAAAGAAGACATGTTGTTCATAAAGATGCAACAGCTTGATCATCATGCCTGTTGTCAAATGGTTGAAGAAGTAATTGATGGTAAACCTTGGTATCATGACATTAAAAATTTCCTAAAACACCAAGAATATCCATTAAATGCTGCTGAAAATAACAAAAGGACATTGAGGAGGTTAACAATGAGTTTCTTTCTGAATGGAGATGTGCTCTACAAAAGGAATCATGATATGGTTCTGCTTAGATGTGTGGATGCTTAAGAAGCATGAAAGATCATGGAAGAGATTCATGAGGGTTCATTTGGGACTCATGCCAATGGACATGCCATGGCAAAGAAGATTCTACGAGTTGGATATTATTGGTTGACAATGGAGGCCGATTGCTTTCGTTATGTGAAGACATGTCATAAATGTCAGACATATGCTGACAATATTAATGTTCCCCCCAACAAATTTGAATGTCTTATCATCGCCTTTGTCTTTTTCAATGTGGAGAATTGATGTTATTGGACCCATTGAACCTAAAGCCTCTAATGGTCTCCACTTTATTCTAGTTGCTATTGGCCATTTCACAAAATGGGTTGAGGCTGCTTCATATGCTAGTGTGACCTGAAATGTGGTGGTGAGATTCATTAAAAAGGATTTGATCTGCTGGTATGGCCTCCCAAGCAATTTGATAACAGACAATGGCACTAATCTGAACAACAAAATGATGAAAGAATTGTGTGACAATTTCAAGATTCGACATCATAATTCCTCTCTATATCGCCCAAAGATGAATGAAGCAGTTGAAGCAGTCAATAAAAATATTAAGATCATCCAAAAGATGGTAGTGACATATAGAGATTGGCATGAAATGTTGCCATTTGCTTTGCATGGATACCAAACTTCAGTTCGTACTTCAACCGGGGCAACTTTATACTCTTTGGTATATGAACTGGAAGCAATACTTCCTATTAAGGTTGAAATTCCCTCTTTAAGAGTAATAATGGAGACTAAATTGGAGGAAGAAGAATGGGTGCAATCTCGTTTTGATCAATTGAATCTCATTGAAGGAAAATGGTTAAATGTGTTATGTCACGGTCAACTATACTAGAGAAGGATAAAGAAGGCTTTTGATAAAAAGGATCGTCCAAGAGAATTCAGTGAGGGAGATATGGTGCTCAAAGAGATTTTGCCAATGCATAAAAATTATCGTGGCAAGTGGTCTCCAAATTATAAAGGACCCTATGTGGTAAAAAAGGTTTTCTCAGGAGGAGCTTTAATCCTCACAAACATGAATGGATAAGATCTTTCAAATCCCATCAATTCTGATGCTCTCAAAAAATATTATGCTTAAAAATAATTAAAAAAAGAAAAAAGAAAAAAATAAAGAGAAAAAAAAATAGCTTGCTAGGTTAAAAACTGAAAAGGTGACCTAGGCAAAAGTTAGAGTGACCTAGTGAGTTGAAAACTCGAAAGAGTGACTCAAGCAAAAATTAAGGTAAAATAGATTCTATACTGAACTAAAAACCTGAAAAAGCAGTTTAGAAGGTGCACTGGATTTCAGTTGTAAGAAAGCACTTCAAATTGAGAGGTTGAAGTTGAATCAAACGGAAGATGAATTCAAAATACCATACTGGAGCAATTTTATTTTGGCAGTATTGTTAATAAATGATCAATTTACATGAGATATTAGCACTGTTCATTTGGAAGATGTCACTTAATTGGCATAATACTTCACTATTTTTATAGTAATTCTAATCCTGTGATGTATTTGTTTTTTCTATTACTCATGTCGCAAGTCTTCTTTGTAAATTCACCATTTCTTTATTACAATCATCCTGTTTTCCAAAAAATATTTATCTCTGACTTTTGTCACCTTCCATTCAGCTTATCTACACCACTTTGTTTACTCAATTTCTTCAACAGCATTAACCAACATTTTTATTGTCATTTCAATAATTATATACTAAAAGGAAACATGCAAACTATTAAAAGGGTAATAAGAAAATATGATTACAATAATAAGCTTTAAAAATTCACACAGTAAGTTTGATGAATTTCCTAATAAGTTTAGCGTGACAGAAGAAGTTGTCTCCTTATGACAATTCAAAAATAAATGGCAATCCAATTTGATTAATGTCTCACAATCTCATGAAAGAATTGATCCTGACCAAAGAACGTACTCATTCATAAACCTTGAGGTGCATGTTCCAATAAGGTTGAAAGATTACTATCCCCACCCAAAAAAAGGACAGAGAGTTTGATTTGATTTCATCATTCAATAACTCCATTCTAAGTGTTAACATTCATCTAGTTTATGCAATTGCATCATTACATTAGTATACATTTGTTTTTATCTATTGTCACCTTTTGAAGTTTAATTTAAATTCATTGTCTGCCTTACAACCTTTATGTTCAGTCTAAGATTATAATCTAACTGAGTTCTTTACCTTTTATCAAAATTCAGAAGCTGACTGATCTCTTTATTTTTCTATCTTACTTTTACTGTTAAAGTTTAAAGTCTTATTGTCCTTTTATTCTATTTTGTAATCCAGAACATGATCGACCTTGTTATTTTTCTGTCTTTCTTTTTACCTTTATTGTCGAAGTCTCCTTACGTTTTTGTCAAAGCCTAAAACTTGACGGCATCTTTCACTTTTTCTCAAACTTCAGCACTTGATTGACACATTTTCACTTTTCTGTCAAAGTTCAAAACCTGATTAGCACCTTTCTCTTCTCTGTCAAAGCCCATAATTTACTTGGCACATTTCACTTTTCTGTCAAAGTCCAAGATCGAATTGGCACATTTTATTTTTCTGTCAAAGCCCAGAACATACTTGACACATTTCACTTTTTTTTTTGTTAAAACCCAGAATCAAATTGGCACATTTTATTTTTCTATCAAAGCTCATCACCTGATTGACACATTTTACTTTTCTTTTAAAGCCTTGAATTTCACTGGTACTTTTTACCTTTTAATTAAACCCCATAACTTGACTAGCACTTTTTTACTTTTCAATTAAAGCCCAAAACCTGACTAGCACTTTCTACCTTTTATCTTGTTGTTTAAGCGTAGTTTCTGTCTGGCAACCTTTGTTTTTAGTTAAAACTCAATGTCGCTTCACAATTTTGTTCAACACAAATCGTCCTAAATTATGACTTTCTCTAACAGCTAAGTGTTCACTATATTTGTCTTTGTATTCCTTGTATACCTTGTTCGTTTCAGACAAAAATTGATTCACTTCTTTACTCAGTTCTCATCAACTCTAACTTTCAAAGATCTCTAATTGATATGAACTGAGTAAAGAGGGACAACTATGAATACCAATTTTTTTACCTCCCACAATTACCTCCAAATTTTTTTTAAAAATTAAAAAAAATAAAATAAAATCGTTTTACAGAAAAATAGAAATTTTTTTTAAAAAAATAATTTTGCTTCCCGAAAATAGCAGCCTGTACTTCACAAGCTTATATCCCAGTATCAAAAACTAGTTTTGAGCATGGAAAAGGAAAAACTATGGACCTTTGACATTTGCAAAAATTCTAAATGTACCTAATATAAAAATTCAAGTAAGAGAGGGAAAGAATGATTCTTTTTTTTGGAGAAAGAAAGCTAAAAAAACAAAAATTTAGAGAGAAGGGAGAGAAAGGAGACGACAACCATATTTTGGAGAGGAAGAAACGGATAATACTACAAGGATAAGGGTAAAAAGGAAGAGAGCTTCAATATACGAAAGATTGAGCATCTTTATTTAGTTTACTGTCATCCTTGACTTCCCGGGTTGAAGAAGTTTTTCCAGGTATAATAAATCTCCTCTCCTTGTATCTTTTGTTTGCAGAGGACTGTATCTCATTTATTTAATGATATCTCCCCAATGTTTTGCAACTTAGTTTCATATAAAAATAAAAAAGTATAAATATAATATATAATAACATGCGAAACAATGAATAGCATTGTCTTAATTTACTTTCGGCGTGATTCAACTACTGCAGCATGATGTTGTGACATGTCGTTCTTATTTCTGATATTTTGAACATTCATAATATGTCTATTGCGTTTATAATATTATGTATTCATTTTTGTCAAAATTTTATTTTGAATACTATATTAAACCTTTTTTTTTTTACATCAGGCTATCGATTCATCGTTGGTTTACTGACCTTTTCTTGTTTATATATATATATATATATATATAAACTTTATATTATTATTTAAAAATTAAAATATATATTTTACTTATTAAAATATTTATATTCATAAACAAGTAGAATATTATTTATATGTTGATATATCTTACTATTCTGTTTTGTTAAATTAATTTTTTTAAAATAAAAATGTTGTTTATAAGAAAAATAAGTAATAATAAAACATTTATTTCTATTTTTACTGTTGTTATTTTTATGTTTTCATTGGTTAATTGTGTAACGCCCCGAATTTCGATAATATTAATCATTATTGTTGATATATATATATATATATATATATATATATATATATATATATGTATGTGTGTGTGTGAAGGAATATAAGAGTGTTATGCGAGTATGACTGGTCTGAGCTGGAAAGAATAAGCTAAGTAGCTGGTGCAGAGTATTTTCGCTATAGCGAGAGCGCCCTGGGAAGAAGGGGGCTAAACTATCGCCTTCTCGCTGTAGCGAGAGGTGCCTCGCTGTGGTGAGAGAGTGACACTGAGGACTGGGTGCAGACTCGCTGTAGCAAGAGGGTCTCGCTGTAGCGAGATTCTGCAGAAACCATAATGCCGTTTTGTCTGAGATTTTCGCTGTGGCGACAGAGGGCGTCCCTCGCTGCAGTGAGAGGATGTCGTTGTAGCGAGAGTGTCGCGATCTGAGGGGTTTTAAAAAGGGGTTTAGGGATTTGAGAATTATTTCCCAATTCCCTCTTAGATCCCTTTGATTCTCTCGACCCCAAACCTTTTCTCACTAATTAATTACCTCCAAAGCCATTCGTAAGTGAGATTGGAGCTCGAATTTGTGAAGGAAACGCTTAGAGGTGAGTTTTCATAATTAGGGTTCCGTTTTATCCTTCCCTTTCTCTGTTTTGGGTGATTTTTGGGGACTCATGAAATTAACCGTGTGTTTAGTTCCATTTAGTTTTTATGTTGTTAGTTATTATTTTGTATCTTTATAATTTTTAAGTTAAAATTGGGTACTGTTGTATTGTCATGCCAGTGAAAACTTTCATAAATGGTATTGTTGTTTTTAAGCCAAAATTTAGTATTGTTGTTTCATAAATGGACCACATCTTATACACAGTC